GGGAACAGGCGAAAGCAAAGCTTTTTAATGGTTAATGGGAAGTTGAGAACGTCAGATTCCAATTTATTTGAGAGATAGCGCAGCATTTATCTGAACATGACAGCAATGTTCATCCTAAGGAGACCTGGTGTAGTGTGATATTAGGCCTACTGTAGAATCAGCCGTAAAGAAAAGTGGTAACCTAAATATGAAGGTCAGAAGACATCATTGGATTTCTGTGACATCATCCGATCTGATTGATGCGAAAAGACTGATTCTAGCTGGCTCTGACAACAATGAACAGCGAAGGCAGCAGAAATGTAAATTGATCAAGAGTCTTCGTGTTGATTGCAAGCATTGGTAGGTTCTGAAAGTGAGAGAGATGAAGAAGGCATTAGCATTAGGTAAACCCCATCAACTATTTGCGGTTATGAAGGATACAGGTAAGAAGAAGACGATGGTGAATGAAACCATTACTGAAAACGCTGCGATGTCCATAACGACTCAGAACAGGTGGCTAGAAGATTGGACAGAACACTGAAGCGCAGTTCAACTGCCCTACAGTAACGCTACGATTGCCGATCATCCAGCTTGAACCTGGATGGGACGTAGACATCTGTCCCTCAACTCTCTACAAAGTTTAAAAGACTGTATCGAACCTAAAACGATGCAAAGCAGGAGGATCTGACAGTTTGCCACCCGAAGTTTAGAGGATTGACGTAGGAAGTTGCTAATTAACATGACGGAGGTACTTGGTAATGTATGAGAACCAGAGGTAGTTCCGTCAGACTGGTGTACTTCACCTATCATTTCAGTCTATAAGAAGGAGAAGAATTTTGTGACAACTATTGAGAAATTATTTTGACTAATATTATGTCCAAAATCCTAGGGTCCATAGTTATCCGATGTCTAATTGGTGCTCGAGAAAACCAGACAGGTTTCAGACGTGGACGAGGGTGCATCGATCATATTTTCACCCTCCGACAGGTTCTGGAATACAGACATGCGTAGCGATAGCCAACACTTGCCATGTTTCTTGACCTGAAGGCTTCAATTGACTCAGTTGACTGTGAGGTGTTGTGGCAGTGTGACTGTGAAGGGACTACGGAACAGTCGAAGTTCTCAACTAGAGCTCACGCAGCCATGTCAGAATTGAAGACAAGTTGTGATGTCCGCTAGATGCCCATTGTCACTGATAATATTTAATTCCGTAATAGATTTACTAATGAACATACCATTAGGTACTTTTGCCTTCATAGTAATTGACCTACCCCCTGGAGGTCATCTGGTTGACTTGGAATATGCAGACAGTATTCTGCTGCTAGGTCAAAACGCTGACACAATGCAGAGCCTTCTGAAAGTGTTGAGCAGAAATCTTAGTATGTTTGGTATGCATTTCGCACCTGTCAAATGTGAGATGATGCTCCAGGACTGACCTGCCACTACTCCAAGTTCAATGATAGGAAGTGAAGTGGTGGGATGTGTCAATCACTTCATTTACTTGGGGAGTTGCATCAGCCCTAAAAAGTTGGTTGCTTACGAAATCTTAGCTTAGATACAAGAGGCCCCTTCGGCATTTACCAACTTGCGGCGAGATATCCGACTACCAAAGAAGGAGTTTAAGGTGCTCCAGTTTGTTCCGTTGAAATTAGAAGACATGAAGGATTTATCTTTATGGCTTTGCTGTCGTCTTGTGAGATCACTGTGTGAGCAATGTTGAGGTCAGCGAGGGGTACTAGGCGGGAAGAGGAAGTCGACTGATGAGGTTGGGAACCTTAGCCGATTTAGATGGCTTGGACATGTACTGCGAATGCCGAGCCACCTCCTGCCTCAACGTACCAGGCTGCAAAAAGTTGGATTAATTTGGAAGAAGTTTCAGGGTGGATATATCAAGACCCTGCACCAATCGATAAAGTCTCTGGCTGTTGGTCTGAGTTGTGTGAGGAGACGCAGACTACCTGCCTGAGGTCCTCGAGAAGAGAGAAATCAGTGTTTGAGGACTCTTAGTGACATGGCCGAAAATCGGTCACAATGGCGCAGATGTATCCACTCCTTGACATCTTCTAAAGACTGAATATTCGCACGAACCTTCATCTTCAAACTGTTAGTTCTCCTACACAGTCTTTTTACTTTGATATCACTTGTTTTTTATCCATCTGTTCTTTGTATAGTACTGCGAAGTGTGGCAACTTGAGCCGATTCACCTGTATGCAAGGTTTTACACTGATTTTATCAGTCTGTCAGTGTCAGTTTCCATTTATAGAGAAACTGAGTATTCGTCAACGGGTGGGATCTGAAGATTAGTGTTCAAGAGTCGCTTCAAGAATATAACGAGCGGCGACAGGCTTATGATATATCCTTCAATCGCAAAAGATGGAGACTAACTTCAATATCAAAGAAGATACTCTGTATGGACCTTAGCTACAGAGATAGTGTTGTGAAGAAGGAGAACAAAAACTTTCTCCACTTCAACCATGATAATGGAATTCTCAAGCCACTCAACATTTTCTGACAACTTGAAGAATAACTTTCTCTGTATCCATTAGCTTGAGGTTGTCTATACCAGTTCATTTATCCCTACACTTGTTGGATATACAGTCTCACCAATTGGATTCGCGTATACCTTGATGTGATTATAAAAAGCTACTGTTTTATATATCAGAAGTTTAACTATCTAACACATCATGAACTTTGAGCGCAACGTTATAATCGACTTTATGTTCAAGCATATCCACCAGTTGAAGATGGTATGTTTCCAACTCATTTGCACTGAAAAAGTAACTACCATATACACGGATGAATCGGAATTATATATCCAAACAACATTTGCTCAACCTTTGTTTCTAATATGTTCGCAATTGCCAGCTTTGATGGTGACACTCCTCCTTCAATGTTTTTGATAATTGTCACTGTAATATTATCTTCATTCCGCCTTCATGTTTCTATTCATTTCATGACTTACTATTCCTACGCACCGCCTGTTTTTGTCTCTCGTGATTCCTTTCCATCTTTCATGACACTTGTGTTCTTGTCTTCATATTGTGTTTAAAAACTACTTTAATTTTCGATGTCTTCAAATGTCTAAATACATAAGATTAAGACCGTACAACAGTAAACAAGAAAATCATGAAAGAAACCATTCACTAAACCTGCTGTCTATCCTGATGTGTTAATAGGTATTTCTCATAGATTGAAAAGTATTATTTTCTCGTCTTAGGTTTATCCTTCTCAAGAAATATTTATTATGCCATTGACATTTATCTGTATATAGCTAGAGTGAAAATGAGAAAGCATTTTTATTAGCTCCGTACTATTTCGCTTCGACAAATAAAGCGCATTTTAATTGTAACTAGGATGATTTCAAAAATTCTCGCTCTAAGCTATTGAACCTTCTAAGTCTTACCTTAGCTAACATTATCATCAGATGAACAGCGTAATAAACGATCTAAGTTTTGAGGGAAAGAGCATAGCATGTAGCTAGACAGCCGGCTGATCACAATAACGCCAAACCTATTATAGACTGATTGAAACTTTCAATTTGTCACACCCGCTTAGCAAAACCTCAGAGCAAGGAGATCAATAGAAGTCATCACTGGGACTTAAAAATATAAATTTCATTTCTTGGAGTAAGATAAATGACCAACACATCTAGCTTAGTGTAACCAAGCTGCCTTCAGGAAAAACAAATCATGTACGGATCAAATTGCAACGTTACGCTACGCATCATCTCATCACAGAACAGAGCATAAAATAGCAGTCAACTCTTCACCTTACCTCAACTTCATCGATTTTGAAAAGTTCTTCAATAGCGTCTACCAAGAAGTAAGTTGGCAGGCAGCTGCTTCAACACTACGGTTTCAGTGCCACAAACCTTCATCAACCTGACTCGACAGCAGCTATGTGCTATGTGATGATGCAATATGCCAAATGATTCACAATGGAACGCTCAGTGGTGATGCCTTTGAAGTGATGACAGGAGTAAGACAAGATAAAACAAGGTTGCCGATGATCTTCCTGATCGTGGTTGACCAAACTGGACTGGATCATGCAATAGACAAATGTGGTCATACACTGTTTGACCGATGAGATGATTTGGATTTCACCGACGATGATGATTTACGTCGAATGTCGCACAGGCTCGAAGATCTACAGGCGAAAACTAACTAGTTGACGGAAGAGGCAAGGCAGTGAAGGAAGATGGGACTCCAGGTGAACATAGAGAAAACAGAAGTGATGTAGATGCTAAACAAGCAACAACAAAAACAAGCACCAATCATGATCAGTGAGAGGAATCTAAAGGAAGTTGTCTCTTTCATCTACCTACGTAGACTGCATCGTTTCAACTAGATGTGGCGGCGGTACAGATGAGGATGTCAAAGCCAGGATCGAAAAGACAGCAAGACAGGCCTTGATCAATATGAAGTCAGTGTGGAGATCTACTGCACTCAGCATAAAGCGTGAACAAGATCCAGATTTTCAACACTAATGTCATGTGAAGTCAGGGCTTCTATGTGATGGTTGAGAGACTTGACGCGTTACGAAAGCATTCCAATAAACTACAAACATATATCACATCAACAACTGACGCTTACGCTCAGTCGATACTGGAGGTCAGATGACCAGAAAGAATAAGCATCCAGGGATTTTGACCTGGCAACGAACCAACCAACAACCTATCGCCCAACAAATATTCAGTAGAAGATAGTGGAGATGGATTGGATTGGATTGGACATACAGTGAGAAGATGGTTTGGGGACATCACGCGCCATATCAGGCCGTCGAGTGGAAGTCAGATGGGAAACGACGAGTTGGGCGTCCGAGGTGAGGATGACATGGAGGAGGTGGTGTGAGGATGAAATGAAAGCACGTGGGACGTGGTGGAGCCGGGTTCAAAAGACTCCAGAGAGGAGAATGCATTGGTGACGTGCTACTGAAGGCCTTTGTTCCACTAGGAATCAATAGGACAAGTAATAATAATAATGAAAATGATAAGTTTACGTTTTAAGTTATAGATATCACTCAAGTAATTCAGATACACTTAAATCTAGTGGGGGTAAATAGATATCACTGGCAACACTGTCTCAGCCAAGTTTAGCAATATTAAAACAGCTTCTGTGCATAAATAACGGCTACCATGGTTTCATATGACAAGTTTTGGTAAACTTTCAGATTAATACAAGAGTTCAAACACTCAGTTCACACTAAATTGGAAATATTTAACTGGATATATTTGATTTAGTATAAATCCTAAATCTCATTCTGAATAATCCAAATCAATGACTATCAACGAGTGAAGCCATATTAAATACTAAGGACTACAAGACAGTTGGTTTATCTCAGTTTCAGAATCCTCATTGGCATAGGCGAGCAAATTCTCATGGTGTAAAAAGTGATGTCACTATGAGCATATAACGACTTGATCATTGGGTGGTTTACATTTCCTATCAGTAAATTCTGTGACATATTATCAATTGTTGCCACTGATGGGCCTTAGTTCTTGATGATTATTAGAACGGCAGCATAGATTGTAGCTTTTCATTTGATCTTGGGAATATTAATATTGAAGTCAGTCAGTAGTGAACATTGACTGTCCATTATTTTAAGTTGTTTTTAGAGAATTGGTCATCTTGAAGGTATTTTTCATCACCATCTAGCACAAATAATGGGGGTTCATTAAAATCGAAAGAACCACCTAGTATACGTTTACTCTGAGTCAGCAACTTCTGGGGCCCATTTACAGATAATCCACTGGGTGTATACAGCCCATCATTTCAAGATTTAAGTAGGAATCGCAAGTGTATATTTATATGTTATTGATGATTAGTAACCTCCTGCTAATGGTTTTATTGTTTTGTATTTTATTTATTTTACTAAGCATGAAGTCAAACCTTCCCTTCCAGTAACAGTGCGTACAAATCTACCGCAATCAATATTTCATGCAGCACCATCATATGTATACACTGGTGATGATAATCGTTCATGGTATCCAGGTGGTGGTAAGCCACCCTTACCGCCATCGATATCAGAGAGTGTTATCACTGGTCCACCAAAGTTATTAGATGAAAATAGATCAGATTATTTGATTGAGAATGCACCAACTTGTCCTGATAATAACCTATGCCTGAGTATAAATCAAGTTGCACCAGAACCAACTGGATTTCCATCAATTCATAAACCTGAAGAAACAGACTGTTGTTGAGGGATAAAATCAACCAAAACAAAGTTACATAACGTTTTCTAGCTATCTATAAAAAGTTGCATATAATTTTAAGGCTTCATTTTATTTTGCTTTAATTTTGTTTCCGATTGTGATGTGCATGTACGCAGATTCACAGCGTGCGCTCGGATACGCGCATACGTTCGTGTAATTTTTAGGAAAACAAATGATACATAACATCTTTGTTTTATTTATCGCAAAAGAAGAGGATAAATTTATGAATAATTCAAGAAAATACCGTCAATTTTCATCATTTTGGGATTATAAAAGTCTTTCTAAAAACTTTCAAAAAAATGGACCTTATAATGCGAAAAAACAAATCCAGTTCATTTAAGATTTAGAAATAAATAGAAATACTAAACACTAGGTTATTTTTTTATTTCTCAAAGATAAATTTAAGACAAGCAGACAGAGAAGAAAATGAAGAAGACTGATATCTTGAAATTGTCTTCTGTATGTTGCTCAATTGTTTCTGCACTGTGTTGTATGTGTGCAAACAGATTAATTAAACACCAGGACGTAACCAATAAGCGCTTGTCTACAGAATCAGTTTACAGCGATACTTTCTGGAAATTGGTAAATTAGCTGTTATCAGTAAATAATGTGTTGACAGCCTGAACAATTCAAGTGTTATTTCATTGAAGAAAGTTGCCTCTTAAGATCTCTAAGCATGACATTTCACACAGCTGGCCTAAGAATAATATTCTCCAGTAGGCAGCTATTCCATCGATGGGTCTAGGAGAGGATAGAGGCTTTGGCCACCTTAATGAGGATCTACCAGTTTACCTGAATCCGAAGAGTAGTTCTGTGATATCCAATAGCTGCACAGTGGATTAGATGGTCGATATTACAGCTTACAGCCTGATATGGCTGACTTCTTGTCATCACATGGTTAGTATCTCATGATTCTACTGAACAATTATCAAATGACCGAGCTGATGGCAGACTGATAAGCGTTTATATCCCACCAATGTAATGATTTGAAAACAATGATAAGGTCGAAGATGTGAGAGAAATAAAATAATCAGAGATGCTTTCCTGAAGTTGTTATCGTGATTTTCTACGATAACAAGGTTTTCCCTCTTAAACTTCACATCAGACTAACTTTTCAGTCAAATAACACATTTAATTCAGAGGTTTGTGCGGATTTGGTGATTTTTCAAGTTGTTATTCATCAAACCTGGTGGTTGTGGGACAAATACTCAAAAATGACAATGGGTGATGGATCCCGACCCATTGGCTCAGTGGTAACGTGCTGGCCATGGAACCTGAAGGTCCTAGGCTGTCCGGTACTTCCAGGTTTCCATTGTTTCTCCAAATGATATCAACACATGGTGAACATCAACCTGAAAAACAACACATGGTTAATCCTCATCATAATTGCATCTCGGTATTCTTGTTTCCAAGCAGTTGGTGACAAAATAGATTGATGTCTTACCACTTTTCTCAACTTGTTTTTTTTCTTCCTTTTCAAAACATATATTGTTTTAGTGTAATCAAATAAGTGAATTACGTTAGCGAATGAAATTTTGCGCTACCCTTGAACCACCCTTAGGTTTCCCCCTCGCTATCTTTATCACTTGGGCAACCGAGGAGAATGCATCTCATGGTTTGGTATTAAGGTCTTAATATTAGAAAAATGCAATTTTTAAATATAATATGTCATCGTGGATTTTCAGGTGTTTCTTTTAGGCATGAATTAGAAATGTTTCGTGTATTCGAACTTAACAATATAGGTCCTATACCATCATCGGTATTCAACCTCCACTTAGTTTAAAGACTTTATAAGCTATTCCTGATCACAGCATCATTTGTATATATCTCAATGGTTGAGTGAGCTGTTTCCTTTCAGAAGCATCTGACTAGAAGGAAAAAGATTCTAAAGTTGCATTATTCCGAGCAAACCTCATTGTGAAATTTGCATATCACTCACCCGATTTATATTTGACATCTGATCCTGGTTTTTCGTTAACGGGAGGTATGGCCTTGTATTTAATTTGGTGTAACTTATGGAATTCTGTGAAGTGATTCAAGTATAACACAAGATAACTAATGATTTTTTCATCACCTAAACGGTTTATGTTACGTTCTGTCGCCTGAATATGTGGTATGATGCCAAGCAGTAATAAGGGTTCCAGCTTAGTTTGTCGAAAACGCGCAACTTCAACACCTCAAACTCACATAGGGAACTAGAAGAACACAGGTTTTGATAGGCAACTACCAGTCTCAGGAAATAGCAAAATTCAGTCACAACAATTGCATGAGGGATTTCGACCTTTCCGACATCGAAAACAGTAATATGCTAAGACGAGGTCAACCAGTCTCGGAAACAACCTTGTGAAAGATGTGTGAATTTCCATGAAGTTGGTAACCGAAACCATCAGGTGATTCTTTAAAAGTTAAACCAAACGCCCGAGTAAGGCGTAAAATCCGCAACACAAGATTTGTTAGAATTACTTTACTGTGTTGATAAACAAATATGACTAATCCATTACAAATCTGGAATCGTGAATTGTCTGCTGGCTTATCGGTGTCTAAAGCATCTTATAGAAGTATGTAAACAATGTAAACAACAAAGCAAATGTGAAAAGTGGGCAGATTTGCAGGATTAGTTATGAGACATAAGGTAAACAAACCTATAAGGGAAAATATAGCACCAGGGAAACAACTAATTAAGCTCAACAACCATAGACTAGGAAGGATACTAATATCATGGGATGTTAAAATGATAAGCAGTGTACGATTCTGACAGTGATCAACAAATTATAGTAATGATGGACAGTGGCTAGCACAGCTGATATCGAGGCATCCTCACAGGAGCCCATATGCCAATAGAAACCGATCGATTTGGTCCAATCGACGACGGTATAATACAAGCAACTAAGTAGCAGATAAAATAACATTGTAGGAAACGAATTATACTACTTAATAATATAAGACAGCATAAAACTGGAGTTATTAAAAAGTAGCGTTAAGTGGAGTGAACAAAGATAATTAGTGAAAGAAGTAACTGCTTATATGTATGCAGTTACTTCTTTCAATAAATATATTATTTACCGTCTAGTGTGTAGCCTTATCTTGTCTAGGTAATTTGTTTTTCACTGAGCAACTAACGGAACTGGACTAGTGACTTGTAGGCTACAAGTTGAAGTCTTGCCAAAACTCATGACACGAAGTTAAATCGATCATGGTATCGTATTAACAAAAACCATGGGTTTTGAAGATCTTAATTTAACAGGCTTTTCCGGTTTTCGAAGTAGATGTCATTTTGCCTGCTGGAACTCCTTAAGAAATGGGTACTAGACTTCGTGGCTGGATACCAGGTTTGCTAATTTCAAATTGACTACTTCAGACTTCTCTACTCTATATAGCAAGCCCAAGTACAGTTACACTCAACCAAGAGATTCTCGACATAAACTGAATGTCATAGAAAAGCGTATTGATCCAAATTATTTGGTCGTAGGCAATGCATAGCTCAAGTGACAGATACTGAATGGCGCTTGGTGTCCAGAAAATACAACACAAGCGTAACCTAGATAACAATATATGGACGTCAGTTTGCTCGATTTTGGAGTCAGTTGACAGGAAATCCTGAAACATTCGTAAATGAAGACGAAGGATCAAATGATATCATTCACTAACTCGCTGGGTTGATTTTTTCAACGCAGTGAAGAAAGCCAGACGTATCAAGAAGGTTGTGCTTAACCTCACAACTTCAAGAATTTCAGCAAACCATTTTTTATTGACTGAAAAATTTAGATGAACACATACACTATCGGCTGAAGACGAATTCAATACAAACTAAGCAAGACTTGAACAGACGGAAAAGCAAAAAAACTTTTATTCTTAAAGCGAAATCGGCGCCTGAATGTTAGGCAGAGTTATGATGGAGTAACTGAATACATATCTCAGAGGTTCATCGGGACACTTTCCAGAAGGATCCAGTAGTTTTGAGACTTTTCAGTAATTTAAATCCTTTATCTTTGATCACTCCTTTTTCAGCTTTCTATGCATAACTTTGAAATAAACCACGGTTTTTGGCTGTTGATTCACGAGCCAAACGCTGTTGATGAGAAATATTTCTCCCATGTTCAAGAAGTCAAAAATGAATGTCATGAGTCAAATTAAATATATGGTATGATTACGATATGGCGCTTTCCAGTAAAATTCTGAATACTCGCACGTCTCAGCGTAGCTATTTAGTAAAGAGACTAGTATTCACTTCCACAGTCTTAACGTGACTAAGTCGCTTCACTGTCACTGAGTTCTCGGGATTCTTAAATTGACGAAATATATCCTTTAATTCACGAATGAGAAGAACAAAATTTTGAACGAAAGAGAAATATTTCTTTTTAACGACTTTATTTCCAAGCCTTACTGTCAAATCTATAGTAACGCTCGAAGGTTGATAAGTCAATATATACATGATACAGCTGGTTGTGGTGGTGCGATTGGTTCAAACTGGCAAAATGTAGGCAGAGTTTCTGGAAAGAGAAGAATTGGTCTCATATCTAAAATATAGTCAAGTGCTGCGGAAAAAGTGCAGAATGATGATACCGATGATGAATAAAGTTAAATATGCAAAGTGAATAGAAATTGAATTGACCAAAACCAAATACATTACCACACCTGTGGTAGAGCAAGAGATTTCACAAAATGCTACTGGATGAAGAGTTAAGGCTTGTAATCATTCACAGCTAGTGCTTCATCTATGCACATGGGACGTAATAAGGACCTTAGGAGTTGTTTATCTCATTTCTCTACATTGCTCTATAAGATGAATCACAAGGAGCTGAATGACCTGACTTCATCTGGTGTTCACTCACCTTCGGCCAACTAAATCAGTTAGTGTTCAGCAATGCCTTTCTGGAGCACCCATTTACATCATTCAGAAAATCTTGAACACAGTTTGTCAGCCTGTTGGACATTCAAGTGTTTATTGTATTTACAGCTTTCAGGAAATTTACTTTTCGCTGTCCAGCACAACTGGTGTGAACCATCACGAAAGTTACCAAGATTTTAGCTAAGCTATTAGATATTCTGATAGATCGCAGATTACGTAATCCGCTGAGCCTTTTTGGGCACTAAGCTGTTTAGTATCAACAGAAGGAATGAGAACTTAGACTACAGATGATTTGGCCATTGTTTATCCCAAGACTAAGATTAACTCGCCTAGTACATTTCCGAAAATATGCACGAAACACGCAAATTCTGAAGGAGGTCAAAAGATTAAGGATTGATTTAAGTCAACAACCTCTTTAATACTGATTTATCCATCTACCAACTAGTGTGGTGGAATCTGAAAAGATGAGTATTTTGCATTCACCGAACAGTCAGCATAAAATGCTCAGTGGTTGGAGGA